TTTTTTATTAGGTATTCATCAATTTATTGTGTACTAGTATGGATGTTAAATTAAGAATCTGCTTTGTTCTGTAGGTATCTTCTGCAGCCAGAGCATATGAAGAAATTTTTTGACTATATACAGGTCCCATATTTTGACATTGCCTCTGATGCTGCTGCTACTTTTAAGGTTTTTTTATTTCCAGATATTGAGAAGAATACTATCCAACTGCTCCATTGCTTTGGAGATGCATTATAGTGTCTATTCTTGCGTTGGCAGTGCTGATGTGATTTAATTTTGCTTATCTTGGTGCAGGAACTATTAACTAGGCACAAATCAACTGTTGCTGATTTTCTCTCTAATAATTACGACTGGGTCAGTGTTTTCCTCTCAGACTGTGTCTCTTCATAACATTAGATTTTATTCAAGAAATCGTCACATTAGAGTGCGGATTTAGAAAATTATATATAGTGGTAATCTTTGCAGAGCTCCCTTTGTTATGATTAAAATTATGTTTGATTTAACTCTGGAGCATTTTTTGTCATTAATAATTTAGATCTTGCACCGAGTAGTAAGTGCTATTTTAGAATGCCTAGATAAGCCCTATTTCTCTGATATGCTGGATAGTTTTCTCTCGATAGTTCTTTGCAGAGTATAACTCAAAGCTGCTTGAATCAAACAATTATATCACTAGAAGGTATTCTGTCAAGGTAATGCCTCACTTATTTATCTCCATTTCGTTTCTATTAATTTGGGAATTTGGGACCATTGACCGAAAAAAAAGGCCTCCCTAAATAAATTGAAGCAGGAAAATGTGCCTCTTAACTTATATTCTTAATTTTTCGTTCTTTCGCATGTTCATTCTTCTTGCGTATATGATGTACTTGTTTCAGCTGTTGGGTGACATCTTGCTCGATCGTTCAAATTCAGCTGTGATGACTCGATATGTTAACTCTAGGGACAACCTCAGGATCCTAATGAATCTTCTCAGAGTATGATTTCCTTTTGGCTGTTAATTTTCAACCTCTTTCTACCTATTACCACTGAAATTTAAGAAAATAAACTGAAGCGTTATAAGTAATAATGGAAAATGTAGCTAACTAACATGACAAAAATATCTAACAGATTCTGCTGTGAATGAAATGTCACTTGACAAATTTAAGACACGATTAAGTGTGCGTTGTGAATCTTGCTTTGCAACAGGAATCGAGCAAGAGCATTCAGGTCGAAGCTTTCCACGTTTTCAAGGTAATGAATGATTAACATTCTACTTCCAAATCTAAATCTCGTGTAAAAAAGTTGATGAAATTTGTTGTGCCCGTCTCACGATTTCATCATCTAAACTAATCGCGAAATTTTCTCCAGTTATTTGCAGCCAATCAGAACAAAGCCCCAGAGGTCATCAATATCCTTGTCGCCAATAGAAGCAAACTTCTTCGCCTCTTTGCTGATTTTAAGACGGATAGAGGTAGTAAACGATATATTACATAAATGTACACGCACATGCATACCTATATACATGCATATGAGTCCTCGAGTTTTATCATTTTTATTTATCATTTTCACCTCCTCCCGCATCTAAGTATTTGTTTCGGTTGGTTGCAGAGGATGAACAGTTCGAGGCTGATAAATCACAAGTCATCAAAGAAATTGCTGAGCTTGAGGCATGAAAAATTGAGTTCCAAATTTATGTAAGCATCTTTTATAACAGTGTTGTACAATAACTTCTAGATGTTGGCATCTTCTTCTTTTTCTTGTAGATTATGTTCTTGAGCATTCGGATTTATTTCTTGAAAGTAAGAAACAATTGTAAATTTTTTATTTTCTATCTTTGTTCTTCTACATGTGTTATTCAAGGCATATTCTCGAGAATTTTGAAGGAGCATATTATTGGCATATTCTCGAGGATTAAACTTATTGAATGGATGCCATGTTCATTACGAAAAGGTTATTGTAATGAAAATGTTGACGGTAAATCTAGTTGATAAGCTAGTTTATAGCTTTGAAATGAATTTTGAGCTTATAGCGGATAGTTTATGACTTATAACTAAAAAACTAGCTTATATGATAGAGTGTTTGGTAAAATTAGTTGATAAGCTAGTTGAAATAAAAATTTAATGAGCTTATTTGAAAAGTTATCTGAGGAAGTTTATGAGATAAGCTCTACTTTAAAAAAAAACCTTATAACTAATAGTTTATGATTTATGACTGAAAAATTAGTTTATATGATAAAAAGTATTTTGTAAAATTAGTCGATAAGCTAGTTGAAATAAAAATTTTATTGAGTTTATTTGAAAAATTAGTCAATAAAACTTATGAGATAAGCTCTATCTAAAATAGCTCGTCTTACAAAAAACCGTTAATGAATTGGATAGCTATTTTTTTATTTTTTTTACAGTTAATTTTATCTCATAAAAAATAAAATTAAAAATATTTCACAAAAATACTATTCATTTTTTTACAAATTTTACTAACACAATTATAAAATAAAAAAGCAGTTATTATAATATATTTTCAACAAGAATCACTATCAATCCACTTACGTATCAATTTTATCATTTATTATATCATTTTATTTTATATTTCATCAACAATAATTATTACATTTCATCCCATATTCATTTATCATTTATTATCTCACTTTTTGAAAAATAATCTTTTTTCGGCTTTTCAAATTTTTATATCACGAAATATTCCTAGTTGTAAATATATAAATTCTACCAAATTATATTTTTAAATAAGGAGAAAAAAAAAGTACTACTATATAATAAAAAATATTCCCCTACTCACGGTGGGCGCATAAGGTCATCGGCATGCACACATTGGTGATTATTATGCGACAATTTACATCTGATACCATAAATCATGGGTCCCATCACTACATATTTTCCTATAAATAAATGAGCACCATTTTCTACTTCTATTTATTCATTTTCAATTCTCAGGTGTTTGCGTGCTGTAAACTTCCGCTCTGCAATTAACTCACAACCATCTTCTTCTTTTCTGAATCTGAGCATCACCCACTGAGAAAAAAATGGCGGAAAAAGGCAAGATAACCCAAAAAAAAAAAAAAAAAAAAAATCACATTTTCAGATTAAGTGCATTCAATTTGTGCACGATTAATTTTGATGGGCTTTTAAAATCTTGGATTTTTACAGGTTCCTTGGAGGATTTCTTGGCTAAGGCGATCGAAGCTGCCAAGTCTGCTGGGCAGGTACGTACAATTTTGATCGATCTTAATCTCCAGATTTACTTTTCCTTTCGCTTTTCATGCTTCCTAGCATTTTCTGGGTTTTGCTTTAATTTTTCTTTATTTTAATGGGTTTTGAAGATTATTCGTTCTGGATTTTACGAGACAAAGAGGGTGGAGCACAAAGGCCTGGTAACATGTTAGCTTACAGTAATTTTTATGTAATTTTTGTGTGGGAAATTGAAAATAATTTGTGTTCAAATTTGCATCTTTTCTCTTCTGTGATAGTCCTTTTTTTCGCCCCGAATATTGATATGCAAATCAGCATATTGTGTGAAGTGTTTCATTATCTGCAGGTGGATTTGGTGACGGAGACTGATAAGAAATGTGAAGAACTCATATTTGATTTTCTCAAAAAACAGTACCCTGACCACAAGGTCAGTTATCCTATGTCTGTCTGAGTGAAAAGATTTTTCGAGTCAAAAATAATTATCCGTACTACCCCTCGTTTAATTCCTACAAATATAAATTTATTTTGATATCATGATGCGTGATGCTTATAGCGTAATGCTTATGTAGTTCATTGGTGAAGAAACCACTGCTGCTTGTGGGCCAACTGAGTTGACTGATGAACCGACTTGGATCGTTGATCCTGTGGATGGCACGACTAATTTCGTTCACGGGTTAGTAACTTAGTATATGTTATGCTTGTGAAGAAGTATAATTTTGCATTATCCTTAGTGCGTGCGTATATATATGTAGATATCTTTTCAAAGAAATAAATTGTGGAATTTCAGGTATCCTTTTGTATGTGTATCCATTGGACTCACGATCGAACGAGTCCCTATTGTTGGTGTTGTTTACAATCCAATTATGGATGAGGTATTTATTTATTTATTTATTTACTTAATTTTTTGGGGTATGTTTAGTTAGTTATACATTGATATTTGTAACATGGCTGAAGTTTGTGAATCGTGATCATATACGGGTAGTTGTATCATATACGGGTAGTTGTAATTATCATATCCACCTATTTGATCAATGTCATACGTTCGGTATGATAATCGTTGGAGTGGGAATCATTTGAATGGAGAAAAAAGGATTATTAGTAATGAGCATAACAAGTAATGATAAGCTGCTTCTTGTTGATTATGATAAAAGTGTAAACATGTGGATTTTCTTGTTTATTTTATTGTGAACTTTTCAGTGAAAAAAAATTGTTCATTGATTAGATTATGAGCATTTGTTTTTGATATGTAGCTTTATACTGCAATTCGTGGGAAGGGAGCTTTTCTCAACGGAAAACCCATCAAAAGTAGGTTGCTTTTTTTTTTTGTTTCATTTGGATTTTGATACCGTGTAATATATGGTTTGTTTTGATTCGTGTTTCGTGTATTTTGTGATATATGCAGCATCTTCCCAAACCGAGCTTGTGAAGTGCCTTCTTGCTGCAGAGGTACCCTGCTTATTAACATATTGCTTACAAAACGATCTTGATTGGTAGATACAAAAAAATCACTAGTTACCCAATTACATTCGAGATTTAGTCGAGTTAAAAAAAAATACCACAGCTAGTTTCTTACTACAAGATGTCTTCTTGTTTGTAATAACCGGCGTGTTTATTATTTTCGATTAAAGATTTGTGAGTAATGGTGATGATTGTTGATATCCAATTCAACTATCTAGCATGAGAAACTTCTAGAACTTTTGAGACTATACAAGCATAATAGGTTGCATAAAAATCAGAAAATTTCGTTTAATTACCTGAATCAGGTGGGCGCAGACCGTGACAAGCTTACAGTGAATAATGGTACTGATAGGATCAACCGCATGCTCTTCAAGGTAACTTATTACTGTATTAGAGGTGCCTTAAAAATGATTTCAAAAAGTTTTGGTAAAAAAAAGGGGAAAGAAATGAGAGCATGAATCTGTGTTCTCGATTCATCAGGTGAGGTCTCTACGCATTGCTGGCTCTTGTGCTTTAGATCTTTGTGGGATTGCGTGCGGAAGGATTGATTTGTTTTACGAAACTGGAATTGGAGGCCCTTGGTAAGAAATTTTTTGTTTGAATACATTTCCTTCTCAGCATTACATACACATTTTCTTGATAATTGTTTTGATTTCTTGGATAAATGAGCACAAATGGCAGGATTAAAGATCGTATACATATGGGGTGTATTCGTTTGGAATTTGAGTGACATTTTGAGACTTTTTAATATTTTCAGGAGGAATCTCTGTGAAATCTTAAGTCTGATGAAATCTTAAGTCTGGATGTGGGATTTAGAGTGAGGGTTTTTTCTTTTGAAATCCGAGCAAATCTTAGAAAGGCATAATAAATCATAATCTCAAATAAGTTAAATACATAAGGATTTTGTAAATTTTTTTAAAATTTTAAATGAATACCTTGAAATTTTTAAAAGTTTTAAAAAGTCCAAATTAAATGAATACCTCAAGATTTTTAAAAGTTTTAAAAAATCTAAATTAAATACACCAGAATTTCTAAAGTCTTCAGAAATTCTAGACGAATACACCCCTTGCGATCTTTGTCAAACACTTGGAATTTCGTTTGTAATTACATAAACACTAAAAATTTAATGATTTTCACTATGTTCACTATATGACATTCTCTTCTATTCAGGGATGTTGCTGCAGGTGTAGTTATCGTGCATGAAGCCGGAGGACTTGTATTTGATCCGTAAGTAGTAAAAAAACTCCCGATTTTTTCTCACGTTTTGCATGTCTCTATATCACGATATATATTTATTTGTGTAACGAATTATTAATATTATTTTGGTTGTTCGTAAAAGCTCGGGTAAGGATTTCGACATCACGTCCCGTAGAGTGGCGGCCTCAAATCCGCTTGTGAAGGATGCATTTGTCGAGGCTCTCCAATGTCCGAAATGAAGGCAAACTATTTGTTTTTCACTACTTTCAAAGGCTTAAATTGAAATGAAAGCAAACTATTTGCTTTTCACTACTTTTCAAAGGCTTAAAATGCATGTAACGAGCAGATTTGGGTTTTTGTGTTATTAGGACATAAGATCCTAGAATAAAATATAATCGTCTGCAATTTGCGCTTTAGGCTTTATTTGTGATGTTTTGAATTGTTTTCTTTGTGTATGGGCATGTTATGGGCTTTACTAGATGTGTAGGCGGCAGGCATGTTCTTTGTATTTGTTATTAGGCCCATTTAGAGTAGACTCTCGCGAACTGGAATAGCTTTTGGAGAACTAAAAGTAGGCCCATTCAGGTGTGTTTTTCAGTTAATATTATCCATTAATCGCCGCAATTTTTACATGAGGTGGTGGCATCCATGTTATTTATTTTTTCAATAAAAATATATTGTGCTTATATTATTTTTTAGAGTATGATATTTTAATAAAATATATATATATATATTTATTATCATATTATATGATTATATCACCGTTAGTTTAACAGCAGCCTTACTTTTTTTTATTTTTTTTTTACGGTACAACAGAAAGAAGGCCATGGCCTTAGAAAGGAATTAAGCTAGAACACGACGGGGTAAGAAACCCCCACAAGGTCATGCTGCAACCATGCTCCCAAGCCTGAGGGGGAGACGAAATTTAGTGTAGCCCGACCGAGGCAGATGCTGCTACACTTGCCAGATGATCTGCAGCAAAATTAGCTTCCCTATGGTGTTGGAGTTTAACACTCCATTCTCGATCGAAAAGGCTACGAATAGTCTTAACTAGTGTTGCATGAGTCCCTAGCCTATCCAACGTGCCACTAACCAACTGCGTTACACACTGTGTCTACCTCTGCAATGACTAGTCGGAATCCCAAATCCCACGCCAAGAGCAACCCTCGTAGGAGTCCCCATAGCTCGGCAACCGTAACAGTACAATAGCCAATGTTCATAAGGAAACTTTCCTCCATCTACCAAGCTCATCTCTGATCAAACCGTCGGCGCTACTCAACCAGGTAGAGTTATCGAAAGCTCCATCCGTATTAACCTTGACCCATCCCGTGTCCGGCGGGACCCACCTAATGAATCGGGTGATGTATAAATTTGCCCCAACACGGGCGTAGGCATCTGTCCCCCGACTGTAGGTTTCCGTGAAACAGAGCAACTTCAGAGTGCTTCGCGTCGCTGTTCAAAACTTGATTATTGGAAATTCGATCATTGCGCCATGTCCATAAGCGCCATACAGCAAAAGAGAACAAGCTACTCCAATTGAGAAGAGATCCCAGCTGCATTGTGACCAAATTCGATCCTACTTAATTAAGTACTTCTCATATATTTTTAGTCACGCGTAATTAAGTCTTACGGTTAGGCCGCCTCCTAAAGTTATGTGGGGTTTGATCTGCCTTACGGTTAGACCGCCTCCCAAAATTATGTGGGGTTTGACCCGCCTTACAGTTAGGCCGCCTCCCACAATAATTTATGATATAATAATACCTTACATTAACCCTATTATCTACATAATTTTATCATCCAATCAGGTCCACTTTATAATGTGAATCAGCTGGTCGTCACAATCAGACATACTCTTTCAAAAAAATTTCAAGTCAAATTATCCTTCATCAGAAGGCATATTATGCCTCCAAATAAATGCCCATAAATGCACCTAAATTAGCCACTAGTTTTAGAGGTTGCTATTTGTTAAAATAGGTCATTATATTCTGTTAGAATATTATGAAAGCAAAACAAACCAATTAAATGAAGGAAATTAAATGTTTGTCATCAATCTATTGACGCAAACAGGATACCCTCACATTGGCTAGAGATTGGAGCAATAATATAGAAAATACTAACCATTCCGTCGGATTTTGTAACCGTTACATCTCATATAACCGTCGGAGATAGTTGATTTAACAATTACGAACCCCGCCAGAATCGTTTCGTAACGGACCATAGCATTTTCCAATAATATAATATCATGCTATAGTTTTGGAGTTTGTTACTAAGGTACAGCTGTAACATTGTGCACATACTCTGTACCATGATTTGTAGGGTAGACATAGATTTCCTATGATGTCTAAAAGTTTAAACCAAAATTCAAATTTTGTCTGTACCATGGTGAAAAATAGTAGCTAGGGCAAGTCAAAATAAATTAGTACCATATATTGCATGAAGTTTCAATAAAAATAATTATTAGTAGAGGCTAGAGCTATTTTTCGATCGAACCATGCTATTCACGAAGACAACAAGGTTCATGTGAAAGTTTGAGCCCAACTCGCTTGCTACTTTAATGAGACGAGCACGAAGAATTAAACGAGTCGAGTCGAGCCGAGCAGGTTCGTTAACTGCTCGTAGATGATTCTGAGGTTGTTAAACGAGTTGAACTGAGCTTTCGTGAGGTTAAACGAGACAACCTCGAGTCGTGTCGAGCCGAACCAGATTATTTACTAACGAACACATGATCGAAAACGAAGTAGAACTACAGAAATTATCATATTCTAAAGATAAAATATTCCAATGAAAATTTCAATGGATACTCAAATGGTACAACATCCATTGAAATTTTTTTATGGATATTCCAACAACCAACACTAAAATATTTCATTTGAATCAATTTTTTTTTTAAAATTTATTGAAAAAATTAATTATTTCAACAACTATTTTTCCAACGGTTAATTATTATGGAAATTTCTGTCGGAATTTTGTATTTTTTTTTTTTCAAGTCACATTTCAACTGTTGGAAAAACTGTCGCTTGAATGATCAAAATCCGACGAAATTCTAATAAAATATTGAATCCAACAAAATATTTTCATTAGAATTTCTATTAGAATTCTAAGAAAAGTTTCAAATAGAGGGAATGACACTTATTATATTTTCGTTGAATTTCATCATTTTCTTGTTAGCGTACTCGGTTGGACCGGACTTGAATAATCGTACAATTACTGTACATGTATATAAGATTATTCTACTCAAGACACAATATAAATATAAAGAAATTATTTTATTTATAAATTATAATACTATCATTATCGTGTGATCGTCTGCTCAAGTAAGTTAGGCTTCTCTTATAATTTTATAATGACACTGTTATCTATGCTAATATTGATTTATTAACAACCAAAATCTTTTCCTTATAATAGGTCCGCCATTGAAAAAAAAAATATTAAATTAATTGGAAAACAGCTCAGCATCTCAATACAAAGTAGATAGCAATGAACAGTTCAAAATTTAATTTATTTATATAGATATATAGACATTACGTAATCTGATGATAATTATATTTGAATAAAATTTGAATGTTTTCAAGTACTGGTACACTACGTACGCAGATTTTATTAATAATAAAATCCTCTTTAAAATATATATATAGAAAAGTTCAACGAATGTCTAATTCAATAAAATAAATTAATAAATAATCAAATATATTATTCTGGTGCAATAATAATGCAGTACCTTTCTTGATCTAAATTATATCATATTGAAATGCTTGCGAGATTTTTTTTCTGCATAATTGTGACAACAACATTTATATAAAAATACAAAAATGTTTATGCCCAATTTAAATTTATTGCACCAAATGTGGGTACAATTTAAAATAATCTTCTGTAGACTTCATATGAAATTGGGATTCATTGCTTGGATCTTTTGATTTTTATTTTGAATATAACTAACGTTTGAAAAAATTGTTGTGGAGTTTAGCGCTAAGGTGAGTTTGATTGAATAAAAATAGGATATAGAATGCTTCGATATTCCTCCAATGTGGATTTAAACATAAATAACAATTTGTACCAATAAAAAAACATAAAAAACAATAATTTGAGGGGTTGATTTATTATTCTTAAGCATGCTAAATGAAAGGTTCAATCTCAAAATTAATTGGTGGTAGGAGAAGTAGTCATTAGACTTATAAATTAGGTCTATTTTTCTTATATAAAGAATGTTGAACAACTCACAAGTGATTATTCTAATATGCCCCATCACTTGTGAGTCCTTAATAAGAAAGTCCAAGTCTTACTAGAAACAGGCTCCCACAAACGGGTACGTGGAGAAAACGCGTACATCATCGCACGGTCTCAATAGAACCTACAAAAAACAGGCTCTCATAAACGGGTATGTCATCGCACGGTCCCAATAGAACCGGTTCTGATACCATGTAAGAAACGGGGGAAGAGAGTGCGGTCCCACCAAATGAAGCGCACTATAAGAGGGTGAGCCTAGATGAACCTTAGTGAGATTTCATCCCAAAACCAATTGGTGATAGAAGGAGTAACTCATTGGACTTAAATTATGCTTATTTTTTCTATATAAACAATGTGAGACAACTTACAAGTGAATATTCTATTATTATTATTATTATTATTATTATTATTATTATTATTATTATTAAATAATCTCAAGTAGATGATAGTGATCCCATATATTGTTATTAAATTTTAAAACCAATCTCATTTTTGTTCATTAAAGAACCCTGATTATAATAGATAGATATATATCAATTGTAAATTATGTCAGGTGAGCAGTTTTAGCTAAAATTTGACCTTAGTGACTTGGATTAGGTCTTTAAATAAATGAAAAAGGCAAATGGAAACAATTTAGTAATATTTATTTAAATAGATTTCTATATAGAGACTAGAGAATAGTTTTGCTTGTGGAGGTATATTTGATGAGGTCATGTCAACAACATTAGTTGGCCAAACAATGTGAGTGGTGAAGCTATTATGAGCTTAGCAAAAAAGATAAAAGCTCCTTTTTTTTATGTTTTTTAATCATGAACAACATATGAAATATTCAACCACAATAGCTAAAGTTTGATGCAAAGTCCATAGGACCATAGAAGATTACATGTGTGAAATAGAGCCATATATACCTTCAATTTTTTTTTTTTT